AAACCATTAAAAATTTTGTAACAAAATTAATAAGGATAATTCTTTTCTACAGAATACAGCAACCAATCCCTTTTAACTCTTTTGTTGTCTGGCAAGATTTGACAAAAATTCACCTCAGAAAATTTACGTCCAATTTTTTTTCTTTTGAGAAACTAAAACTGGAAACCAGGTTTTGAAAATATCTAAGATCATTTTTCTAATCATTCCATTTTTCTAATCCATTCATTTCTGGCAATAATGGACACATAGAGCCAGAATTTAGTTTGAAATACTTTATATAAATTATATATATATATATATATGAACCTAAAGAATTATAAGGCTAAAGAACCAGTATAAAATTACATGAATATCATGGGCATATTCATGTTAGGTGTAAAAATATACTCATTACGACAGTGATAAACTTAATACATTTTCTTTTTAAATTGACACGGTCCTTAGTCACTAAAACTGGCAAAATAAATCACCCAATCTGTAAGGTCATTAAAAGCTACAAATTATCCAGAACTCTACAACAGTTATATGGCTTCTTAAAATTTCTCTACCAATTTTACATAATATATAACCCTTTCCTTCTCTTTAATATTTAAACTACGTTCATTTCCTTTAATAAACAAATAAAGCTTTACGTAACCTGCAAATGACTACAATATCAAATTTTTTTAACTTGATTTGGGATTACAGTTTAAATATTTTATTTTTTTAAAATGCTGCATTTAATGTGCAGAAGATAATACTAAACTTTTCTTTATTAACAGTATCAGCACTGAAAATAACTAGAAAACTTTCTGAAATAATACACAGTAAAACGAAATATATAATGTAAATTATGAATTTTTTGTACCTCAATTAACAGAAAAATTCGTTTTTTTAGGAATGCCTGTCCATGTAACAAGATTAGAATCACTTTCTTAATTTTCCCTCCTTGTGAACAATGAAAAGCATCAAAATAAAAAAAGATAGAGAGAGAGAAATATGTTCTGCAAAAAACGTTTAGGATCCAAAGTAGAAAATACGAACAAATTTAATTCCATTGCATTTTCAAAAAATTCTTTTAGCAATTAGAGAAATTCATCACATAAACCCTGTAAACCCTGTAAATTCATCACATAAACCCTGTAAATTTCCCTGTAAAACAAATCTATTCTGTATATTAGTAACATAAATGTACTTTTAATTTTGACACGGATTTTTTGCTCAATAATCATGGGTTTTTGCTTTCGAATCTTGGTAGAACTTTCCAAAGTATGTAGGCATATACATTATAGGAATATAAATTAAACTATATATATGTTCTAAGAGAAAAATTGCCTCTACAGCCAACCCATTGTCATACCTGCCCATATTGAAAAACATTTCTTTGGCAAAAAAAAAAAAAAAAAAAAAAAAAAAAAAAAAAGCAAGCATAAAGGGAATTTTACTGCCACATAAATGAATATTTTAGAACAATAATAAGGGAAAAAATGTAAAAGCACACAGATCAGATTGGGAGCTCTATGGGAAACTATCAGTAAAGAGCAACAAAAATAAATAAATAAAAAGACTAACATAATAAAATCATTAGAATTATTTTATTAAGAATAATTAAGTAATTAAAATTTCATAAAATGTAGAGAGATAAATAAAACTTAAATAAATGGTAAATAATAATAAAATAAAGTATTTGACCTTGGACTCTGTTGGGATTCCAACTGGAATTAAAACTTAACACAAAAGCTAAGAAATAGCTCACCTGGTGCACAGTTAAATTTAAGCTCAACTGGTTTCTGGTTGAATTTAAGCTGTGAATATGAAGGACCACGATCTCCTGTCAATATAATTCTAACTGTCAAGCAGAGCGAGACAGAGAAGTAAATTTTCTCCGAATCTAAGGTTTAGCTGCGAACAAAATAACAAGTGAGAATTTTCATCTTCCGTCTTTGGTTACATCGAACCAAGAGTTCTGTAGTTGCTTTTTTTCTGCTGGAAGACACTAGTGTTCTAAGGAAGAATTTACCCATTGTCATAAAGTTATAGTATTTTCTGGAGAATAAGCTTCTGACATGTGGGTGAGGGCTATTCTTTTCTTTAGAAATCTTGACGACCTATGTGCAAGAGTTTGTTTCCCAAAGAAAGAGAGACATGCATTCAGAAAGTAGAATCGATTTTTAATATAATTTTATTGCTACTAATAAAATTTCTTCTGAAACTGTTGCTCAGTTAGATTTTAAAAAAATGCTGCTGCTTCTTGGGGTCTAGTGCATTCTGGCTAGAATTATGATTTATCCCAAACATTAAGGAGTACCGAAGCCGGCGCAATTTAAGCTCAGACACAGATGAAATTAAAATAATTAACAGTAGCTTTTTTCTTCTCTAAAAAGTAATTCAAAACCTATGCTTTATAACATTCATTTCACTATGTTTATTTCTCAGAATCAATACAGTCATTCATACGTCACCAAAATAAAGAGTAAAGACAATTTACAACATAACAGGTAATATATATATATATTTAAAAAAATACACATAATTTTAACATACTGTCATATGCAAATTAATTGAAATAAAATTATTTCTTCACGGAATTTCAAGTGATAGTGTCAGCAAGTCCCTCAAAGAAATTTCATTTGCCTTACTGTTGCCTGGATATCAGCATTTGACTACTTAAAATTTGTTTAGACCAGGTTTCTTAAACTTTTTTTCAGTCGCAAACCCATTTTAATCACTGAGATTTTTTCACGACCCCCAGAAGCACCAAATATTTTGAAAATTTTTGGGATCCCATATGCATTGCGCATATCCAACACACTTGTGTGTGAAACTGTCAATTTTTTCACTTGTACTGTAATATACTACAGTGATGGCCAAAATTGTGGACACTTTTGGAAATTTTTATGTTTTTGAACTTTGTACGCTTATAGAAAATGTTATGTTTCGCAAAATGCAAACTGGTATATATCATTTTAAAGATAATCTATTACTGAATTCAATACAAAACACAAAATTCAATTATTTGCAATACAAAAAAAGTTACATGTACTCTGATATAAATAAAAAAACACAGTTATGAAGTAGTTTGTAATGTCTAGCTTTCCTGGCCAATCACTGTTCTTGTTCTGAGAACCAATCAAATGTTAGTAACTGCCAGTAGAAGTTGACATCCATGTTACACTTGAAAACAATTCTTATTTGCTTTGTTCTGTAGAAGGAGGACATGTTCTTATACACTGCAATTACAAGTAGGAAATTTTGTAAAATTTTTAATATTTAGTCAAGAAGCAATGACATCAATAAAGAGTGGATTGGACACCTAGAAAGAGATGTAATATTATTGCTTTACGAGAAAGTGGTCTTTTCTATGCGAAATTGCAAGCCAGGTGGGGTGGTCAGTGACTACATCTGGAGTTCGAAAGTTTTGTTACGATTCAGGAGACAATTCAATAAAAAACAAAGAAGGAAAAGGCCAACAAAAAGGGTGCACACCACATATTTGAGACAGAAGAATAAAAAGACTATGTCTCCAAGATAGAAAAATGTCATCAGCGGCCCATCAGAAGTGATCTGAATGATGCTGGTGTTTCTGTCAGTTCAAGAACCATGAGGAGAAGATTAACAGATGTTGGACTGAGAGGTAGAATTCCACAGAAAAAAGCCTTATCTTAATTTTCAGGCAACGAAAAAAAGTCTACAGTGGGCAAAGGAACACATTAATTGGACAGATGATCAGTGGTCACAAGTTTATGGAGTGATGAAACTAAGATATCGTTATTCGGTAGTGATGGCAAAAATATGTAAGGACGTAGAAAGGAGAAGAGCTAATCCTGACTGCATTCAAGCAACTGTGAAGAACCCAGTTAATGTTATGATTGGTCATGCATGTCAGCAGATTTATTGGTCACCTTCATGTCGATGGGACACTGAATGCCAAAAATACATTACACTATTCTAGAACCAAAACTTCTACCTTCCACCAGAGATCTCTTTCCCAACAATGCTTCGTTTATTTTTCAGCAGGATTCTGCTCCTGCCACACGGCCCAAAAATATCGAAGAGTGGTTTCGTACAAAAAGCATTAAATTGTTGTCATGGCCAGGAAACAGTCCGACCACAATTCTATCGAAAATTTGTGGCACCGTTTGAAAACTCTTGGCGAATGAGGCGCCCATCAAATAAAGGGAAACTAATTGAGACTATAATGTTTCCTGGCAATCATGTAATAACGAAAAGAAGATCTTAAAACTCTTGTTCAGCTCAATGAACGTCGATGTGAAGCTGTAATCAAAAATAAAGGGTACCACCTAAGTACTGATAACTCACTGCAATCATCACTATCTAATGTATATCGATAAAACTATTAACGTTTTAACTTTTTTTTGTATGCAAATAATTGAATTTGGTGTTTGTATTGAATTCAGTAATAAATTCTCTTTAAAATAATATATACAAGTTTGATTTTGTGAAACGAACGTTTTCTGTAAGCATACAAAGTTCAAAAACATAAAAATTTCCAAAAGTGTCCACAATTTTGGCCACCACTGTGTAGAAGTTTTAGGTCACTAACTTTAATTTCTAATTTTAAGACATAGAACAATGTGAAAATTTTAAATAAGTAACAGACCAAATGACAGCATCACTTGCAAAGCAAGTAAAATGAACGTTTCTTTTATAAAAAGAATGCATCAAAACATTTTCCTTTTTTCTTTGACTGTATTCACTTATCTATTTTCAGATACATTGTGTAAAAATATTTGGTAAACGTGAAATTATTATAAGTTAAAGAAATATCAAAACTGAGAATTTTTTGGCTATCCCCTGCTGCAGGTCCCGTGACCCCCAGGTGGGCACGACCCAGAGTTTTTAAGGACCATATAAACCCTGCATTATGTATGCTTACAGTTACTTGCCTTTTGATGTATTTCATATTAATCACAAAAATTTAATAATTTTTAATGCACATAGTTAAATTCTATACTTTTAATAAAGAATTCGTATACAAGTAAATATATATTTATACATACCTCAACAATTACATCAAATAACTGTTTTTTCTGTTTGAATAAAATATTAGTTGCTCCAACAAGAAAACCACGAACACAGAGATCACTCAAAATGTCTAAGAAAGGCAGGGATAAATATGGATGGCAAAGCATACCCTGAAATATTCAAATATAAAAGAACAGAAATATTTCATCGATCAAATTACTCAAGTATTCAAAAACTTTTCAATTAATTTTTTTAATTTGCATCTGCTATATGTGACATCAAAATAAACATGAGCAAATAGTGAAAGAAAAAGGAATGTCTAAAATTACTAAGGAAAGAAACAACATTAGATAAAACTACTAAAGAAAGAAACAGGCAATAATTTTAAAAGATAATATATAAGTAAGATTGGAGTTCTTTTCTAATGCTCTTAAAAAATGCAAGGCCACATTTTAGATATACTCATAGATTCACATACAAACAACATTAAAAGAATTATTTTCTAAAGGTCCATGAACATTGTATTAATTTTGTTACTTGCTGAACTGAGAAAATCTGTCATTGAGTCTTAAACAATTACAGATAGTAAAATAAATTCATAACTGAAAAAATTATTTTCAGAAATTATTTTTTTTTTCCTTTTTAAACCAAATAATTTTCATTATTTTTCATGCATAATTCACCCAGCACCTTAGCACAGAAGCAATGCGTGAATTTATACGTATGTATACAGAAGGGAAGAGAGAGAAAGCTGACATATGAAACTTTACAACAAAAAATTTGTTGCACCCATAGAACCTCCAACCCCTTTTCTTAAATCCAGTACATAAGGAGGTATCACAGAGGTAACCACATAAACTTCCTATGAGAAGCTCCAAAAATGTTAAGTTATTAAACTGTCATTATTAAAATGACAGCTTGTCACAGTGGTGCACTTTGATAGATAATAATTCATTGTACTCGGCAGTAAATAAAGAAAAGAATTGGGGGGTTACATTTAACAAACAGACAAATGGTTTTCAAAATCCAAGTTAAATACACGTAAAACAGATTATCCTTAAGTACTGGCTCTACATTTGGTAGCTAAGTATCAGTTACGGTTTGCTATTTCATTATGGCAAAGTATGCATGAGCTGTCTAACAAAGGAGACTAATGGCTTCATAGAGGATTGGTTCCAATTTTCCACTCTACGTAGGGAAAACCAAAAATCCTTATGCAACCAACATAATTAGTCATCAGAAGTACAGCTCAAAATGTGGTTTCCCTCTTAGATTAAGGAATGATTTAGAATTATTTGTGATTATTAAGTAAGTTAAATTATAGATGTTATTAAGAGGCATCTGCTCTGTTTTATGTTTCCTAAGCCACAATGGAAGATGTAACTACAACATAAATTATAGCATTAGATGTATTAATGCACTGAAAAACTTATCAGGTGGGGATGCAAAAGTCTCACTAATTTAGATTTGCTGATCCATGATTTATGATAGTGGTCTAAAATGACTAAGACTGTGCATAATACTGTTGATTATGAGGTGGTGCAGGGCATAGATTCATACTAGCTTCTACAAGTTAAAAAAAAAAAAAAAAAAAAAAAAAAAAAGCAGCTAACTTATTCAAAAATAAAGTGAGCTTTTCCTTACATAACTGGAGAGTAGGAAAAATAATGGCATTACAAAGTCGTCAGCCTCTCAGTATGAAAAATGAAATTAAAAATCAGAACTTGTTATATATGCAAATATGGCAACAGGATACAATAAGCACTGATATTAACATTCTGAAGTTTTTGTTTCACTATTGTACTGAAATAATTCGAAATACTTCTATAGCAGTTTTAATTTATTCTGAAAATTTTTAATTAATCATACACATTAAGATTTTGTGTTCATAATTTAAGAACTAATATTTAAATAACACATGCAAGAATCCAAATATTTTAATAAAAAGCACATTTTGCATGTTAGGTTTAACTGCATAACATGCTTAGGCACACAGTAACATTCAGCACTCTGAAATCATGGATACATATGGAAACTTCATTTTCTCAGTGTCAGGAGTGAAGAGGTTAAAAGAACAATAGTCGTTATTTCATTCTGAGCTGAGTGATAATATCATAAATAGTAATGAACATGATTGACAAATGATCCATTTCAGTGAAGCCACATAATTTATATATCATCCATGATTTTTAATAAGTTTCTTATATGCTAATTATCTGATGAAAAGTGTTCCTGATGCAAAATAATTTTATGGTGCAAAAATCTCTTTTTTGGGTATCACAGTATGAAATTCAACAACTTGTTGATATTTTGACAAAAATATTTAAATTTCCTGACATTTTGGGTCAATTTTCGAATTTCCTGATTTTTCAGGTAGTGAGGCAAACTAGAAATATTATTTCTGTGTATCATTCATTACCCTATGTGTGATACTTTTTTTTTAATACAGTAGTTTATAACCCAATGAATTATTAAAACCCATCTTGTAAATGGTTCAATGCTTTATAACAAAAAATGTCATTATACAATATATAATAGTCATAACTTTAATACAGAGTTATGAAACATACAACAAAGGGCATTATTTAGGAGCTACATTTTGCATACAGCAATTAGAATAGTTGATTATAAATGTAAACAACTTTTTAGAAAAATACACATTTTCTTCAATCAGAAAATGACCAAGACAAGAATCTATATCATAAAAAGAATAACTTATTATGAATATAATTCATAAATACAAAATAAAGGTATCTATATGATATCAAATATATTATTCTTAAGACTACCTTTTAGTTCAGTCATCAAAAATGGAAATCAATTTTTAGAAATAAATTTACAGTACCTGCCGCTTAAAATTACTTCTGTTCAAAATGCATAGGAATTTATTAACTAATATTTTATTTATAATTTGAAGTTAATAAAAAATAAAGAATTATATATTTGATAAAATTAGATAAATGACTATTACTCCGAACTATTAAATGCAGCCGCTAACAAAACTTCCTTGAACGAAAGTGAAAGGGAAAAAGAAAACTAACTTCTCTAGTGAAAAAACCAAACAGCTAACTGATAAAATCACCATTGACCTTCAGAAAATGACCCCAACAATTTCTTAGTTGATAACCAAACCTCCCCCTAAAAAAGGGTGGGAGAGAAAAGAAGAGAAAAACAGGAAATGAAACACAGATATGGATCCACCTTTCTATTGTGAATGAACTGACCGGTGAGCTGCAGAGAAACAAAAATACATTTGCCTCTCAGTGAGCCCACTCTGGAAACACCTAACGTTCGCCGTTCAATTTTAAGCAAGATTTCAAGGTAAAAATTTAATACTAATATAGCAAAAAGGAGATTAGCATACAGACAAGAAAATAATATAGAAATTTCTATTCAAACAATTTCTTTTATATCCTAAAAAAAAAAATCTGGAGGATTTCTTTGAAAAATAAGTGTCTTTAAAAACTAAACATGGCTAAAATATATGGACCGGTTTGTGTTGGGCTGCCCTCTACTATAAATAAAGAAGATTCAGAGTAACCTATAAATCTTTTCTCATTCAATTTTTCTGTACATACAAAAGAAAATTTTTAGGTGTGTACAGACTGGGTACACCGTGCCGCAAGGGGTTTTCTAAAATAATAATTAAAAAGTAACATTAAAATGAAACTATTTACACAATTTTGAAATTAATTTTAAAATTTCTGAAAATATTTTTCTAATTACATAGATTAAATTTTTAACTTTTACAAACAATTGTTTTATCGCTGTTTGTTTTAAATTACTCATCAATTTGTCATAGTGTCATCAATTTGTTATAGTGTCATCATCAACTGTATTCTATTTTCAATTTTGTAAAACAGCTGGCAGACATTTTTATTAGCACCTTTCAGTTCAAGAATTTTTATCACAATTCATAGCGCTTTTGTAGACTCAAATGATGATGGTATGTCATTACTTTTTCCATATATTCCTTTCGCTGGCAATTTCTGCAGTTTTTTTTTTAACATTTTTATTGTCAGTTTTTATACATTTTATCTCAGCACTGTTGTGAATTGGCATATATTTTGTATTCATTATTTTTACTAACCAACTATTTATATTACATTTTTCCCTGTCATTTTTGCTTTCCTGCCAGAATGCTAATTTCTAGTTTTCACATATTCAGATGAGGTAGAAAAAGATAGTATTTAAAGGAAAGTTTTAAAAGTTAGAATTAGAATGTTCTACCCGCTGAAGGTCGCTTTACTAGCCGAAACTTTGGATTGCAATTTATCTGAGGCATTGTGATATTCTCGCCATCAGGCTTGTCATACTGATATTAGGCCTGAGACAACTAGCATGTATTTTGTCTGTGCAGCCATTAGGCTAACTTACAGTTCATTTAGTACATCACATATCTTTAGAGAAGTGGTTCCCAAACTGTGCTCCCTATAGTCCTGAGGGTCAAATAGCCACTCCAGAAAAATAAAATAAATTTAAATTGAATGAAATAAAAGAATAAGAGATAAAAATAGATCCAAAATTAAGAACGCTAAAAATTACATTCTGAACAGTTGGAATTTTTTTAGTAGACTAAATTTTTCTGCTGCCACTAATTTCAGAATTGTTGTAACAGAAGACAGGCTAAGCTGAACATTCCAGTCTGTTATTTTTGGTATTTTAATGTCCTTTCCAGAGCCGCTCCTGGCAAGAGTGCAGCGCATAAAGGTGCACAGGCGGCCGAACTCTCGTGATACCACACCTCAATCTTTTTAATTTATTGTAAGTACTTCTCATATGTAAGTACTTTTTATACAATTTGTCATATTTAAGTACTTAGTGAATATGAAATATAAATTTTATTAATCATTGAGCATTTTTTTTTAAATTTGGGGGTGGCAATCTTAGGAAAATATGTGGGCAGCCAATGGCAGAGGAATAGCTTCAGTCCTTTCCTGGAATTCCATATTCAAGTGATTTCTTTGAAATGCACATTTGAGAAATATCTTTTTCATTCTCAATTCTTCGAGAACTTGTGAAATTCGCTTAAAGTTTCTCAAAATTTATCTTCATATAAAAAGAAGATGACTAGTCAATTTACAGTGTATTGGGTTAGCCGATAAGGTTTTAGGTTTCCACAAAAATAAACAATAAATGAAGAACAAATCAATCAATAATATATTCTTGT